GCACCCTATTACATTACCACAGCGATTTTCCTCTTGTATACTGCAAGAATTTTAAAAATATGCAATACCTGACTATTTAGTCATGGGCACTGACCTCTTTTCCCTTAGATTATCAAATAAAAAATGACAACAGCCAAATTTTGAGAGAGATGACAGTTGCAAGGTAGGTGGGACTGGAGCTGATTTCCCCCTGTGCACAGGTGGAATACCAGAGGAACAGAGTAAACAGCCAATGGAATTCCAGCTTACATGAAGGTCAGAGGCCAAAAATTGTAGAGGACATTGAAAAACAGATGATAAAGAGATTGCATTCGGATGGTAAGGTCCCTGGGAGCAGCTCAGGGAACAAGGCTGTTGCGGCCCAGGCCCAGTATATGCCACAGGATCCTTGGATGAGAACCAAATCAACATCTCCCTCCCCTGCCAAACAGGGAGGTTAGAGAAGCATCAGGATGGACCTGCATGTTTGAAGTTGCTGTAGGGAATAAAGACAAAATGGGAGACACACAGGGGTAGTGTTCACCTGTTGGAACTGTGGATGCTGGCTAAGTCATTACCAGAGAAATTGGGTAGCCGGGAAACACCTAGAGAAGGGAGAAGAGTTGGGCCATGATGGGCCCTGACCCGGATAGTCGCTGGTCTGGTTGGAGAGTCAGGCTGTGTGAGAAGCCTGGCACTTATTGAGCATGGAAACAGGAGGATTTCATTTTTAAAAAAGGCTCTCAGTGCTGTTTGAGGAACTCTTGCACAGCAGCCATCACCCACCCTCCTTTGTGAGCCGTCTCCTTCATTGTGCCTGAAGCACTGCTGAGGCCAGCCTTCACAACACTGCATGGCTCCTCACTAGGAGGAAGGAGGAGGCACCCCACAGAGGAGAGCAGCAGGGCTCAGAGTTAGCAGTCCCCAGAGAGACTTAACTCAGTGGGGGAACTGAACTACCCTGAAGAGACTTTGAGAGTACCCAGCACCTAGGACAGCAAAGAGAGAGTAGGTGGTGTGTGAGTTGCCCCAATTAGTGCACCTAAAGTATGGCACAGCTGGTGGGTTAAAGGTGCCAGCCTGGGGCAGATGGATAGTGGGGGCCTTGGGCTGGAGATAGGAAAACTATGAATATTGTCACCCAGACCTGGCCCCCATCCTCACAAAACCTTAGGAAGGGAGAAAAGCAGAGCCAAATGTCCATACTACCAAAAACAATTTATAGATTCAATGCAATCCCTATTAAAGTACCAATGGTGTATTTCACAGATATAGAAAAAACATTTCAAAAATTTATATGGAACCATAAACAACCCTAAATAGCTGCAGGAATTTTGAGAAAGAAAAGCAAAGTAGGAGGGATCACAATACCCGATATCAAACTGTATTATAAGGCCACTGTAATCAAAACAGACTGGTACTGGCATAAGAACAGATGCACAGACCAATGGAAGAGAATAGAGAGCCCAGAAATAAACTCATGTCCCTATGGCCAATTAATTTTTGACAAAGGGGGCAGAAGCATAAAATGGAGTAGTCTCTTCAACAAATGGTGTTGGGAGATCTGGACAGCTACATGCAAAAAAAAAAAAAAATGAAACTCGATCATCAACTTATACCATACAGAAAAACAAATTCAAGATGGATAAAAAACTTAAATAATTCAAGATGGATAAAAAACTTAAATATAAGTCGTGACACCATAAACATCCTAGAAGAGAACATAGGAAGGAAAATGTCAGATATTCCATGCAGCAATATTTTCACCGATATGTTCCCTAGAGCAAGGGACATAAAGGAAGAATAAACAAATGGGATCTCATTAAAATAAAAAGCTTCTGCATGGCTAAACAAAACAGCACTAAAATGAAAAAAGAACCACCTATATGGTAAAACATATTTGCCAGTGATACCTTGGACAAGGGTTTGATCTCCAAAATATATAAAGAACTTACACAACTCCACTCCAGGAAGACAAACAACCCAATTGAAAAATGGGCAAAGGACTTGAACAGATACTTCTCCAAGGAGGTCATACAGAGGGCCCAGAGGCATATGAAAAGATGCTCAGCATCACTAGCCTTCAGAGAAATGCAAATTAAAACCATGATGAGATATCACTTCACACCAGTGAGAATGGCCATCATAAACAAATCAACAAACAAGTGTTGGAGAGGATGTGGAGAAAAGGGAACTCTAGGGCACTGTTGGTGGAATTGCAGACTGGTACAACCACTGTGGAAAGGAGTATGGAATTTCCTCAGAAAATTAAAAATGGAACTGCCTTTTGGCCTGGCAATTCCACTGCTGGGATCATACCCTAAGAACCCTGAAACATTAATCCAAAGGATCCCATGCACCCTAATGTTCATAGCAGCACAATTTACAATAGACGAGAGCTGGAAGCAACCTAAATGCCCATCAGTAAATGAGTGGATCAAAAAGCCATGATACATTTATACAATGGAATTTTATGCAGCAGAATGAAAAAAGGAGCTCCTACCCTTCATGACAGCATGGATGGAACTGGAGAGGATTATTCTAAGTGAAATAAGCCAGGTGGTAAAAGACAAATACCATATAATCTCACCTGCAAGTGGAACCTAGTCAACAAAACAAACAAGCAAGCAAAATATAACCAGAGACATTGAAATTAAGAACAAACTGACAGTAACCAGAGGGGAGGTAGGAGGGGATAATAGGGGGAAAGTGGGAAGGGTTTTCAGGAATAACTGTAAAGGACACATGGACAAAACAAAGAGGGGGGTGGGATCAGGGGTGGGAGATGGGGATGACTGGGGTAGGGGAGAATGGTGGAGGGAAAATGGTGACTGCTGTACTTGAACAATAAAAAATAAAATAAAAATTAAAAATGACAACAGCCATCACAACAATTGGCATCCAGTGTGAATGATTCAAAATTATACTTATTTTTTGTCACATTGGCAAAAAATGTAATATATTTTTGGTGTGTACAGAATTTTAGTAATTAGTTTATATGTGCCATGAGATTAAAAAAAGGTTGAAAATTGCTGTTTTTCCAGATAGTTTTATGAACATCTGGTAACTTTGTTGAAGCCACCTACTAATGCTGCAACACTGGTTCTGCTACAATGCTTACCTTGTACTTAGTGGAACAGGAGGTTAAAGGGGAAGGGAGGGATCCTGGGGAAAATTGAAGAAGGGACAAATGAATGACAAAAGAATGTCATCACAGGAGAAGACAACAGATGGAAGAGCAAAATGAGAAAAAGGGAGTGGCAGGAAGATTGAAAAAAGGAAAGAGGGTCTTCTTAGTAAACTCTGCCACTTTAGTGAAAAGAAAGGCTAAAAAGTAGAAAACCCAGAATTTGCTAAAACAGGAACAAAATAGGTACAAAAATACTAAACAAAGGGCTATAGAAAGGGAACAGGAAATCTGCCACCAGCTAGTCCCCTATCTCTGCCGCAGGCACATTCAGCACCTTCCTGGCCATGACCGGCCACTGTTGCAAGTGGATCTTGCACTTCTCTGCAAACAAACTGTAGCTGACAGAATTTTAAATGCTTACATTCAATCAGTGTGTGTTATCAGAGCCTGGTCTCCTCCAGGCTGTCTCTAGAAACTCAGGAATTTCTCTCTGGCAATCAGAAGAAGCCAGGGGCTCACAAATGGCAGACATGTACAGAAATAATAGTGAAGGACCTTAAGGAAGGGTAGAATGATACTAGGTGCAGGCTAGCCTCTACTTTAGGAACAGCTGTCTTCGTACCCTATAAAAGTAGTCTCCTCAAACTTTAATGTGCAGGGAGTCACTTTGGGAATCTGGTTCTTTGGCAGATGCTGGTTCAGAAGGGTTAGGATGAACCTGAAATTCTCCATTCTCATAAGCTCCAAGTGATGCCAATGGTGATGGTCCTCAAATGACAGAGGGAGAAGCAAGTTATAGAGCACTCTGGTGAACACCAAGTCAGGGAGAGAGAGAGAATATGAATGGGACCAGCCAGGTGGCTTAGTTGGTTGGAGTGTCAGCCTGTACCAAAAGGTTGCAGGTTCCATCCCCAGTCAGGGCACATACCTAGGTTGTGGGTCCCATCCTTGGTCAGGCCACATATAGGAGGCAACTGATCAATGTTTTTCTATCGCACTGATGTTTCTTTTTCTCCTTTCCTCTCTCTCTAAAATTAATAAACATATCTTTGAGTAGGGATTGAAAAAAGAAAGGAGGAAAGAAAAGAAAAAAGAAAAGACAAAACCAGAAGTACATTCAGAGAGAAGACAGGAAGGATTTTTTTATCCATTTATTGCTGTTTTTTTTCCAGTTCCCAAGAATTCAGAGTTTCTGCAGTTTCCCATTAGGACTTTCAGGCAGATGAAATTCTCTACCCATGAATGCGGACACAAAGCGATACTAGCTGTTAAGCCCAGCGAAGGTAGTGTGATGAGGCGGGCAGCATTCTAACAGTATTTGGCATCCACCTGGCTCCCTCCAACTTTTCATACCTTGTTCTCAACTTATCTTTTTTCCACCAAGGAGATAATAATTGTCTCTGAATTGTGCCTACTTGAACATCAAACATATGTTGAAAACTTGAAGAATTGAAGCAGAAATATTGAGAAAGTACTAAAAACCAGACTTCAGGATTGAAGTTAGTGATTTGACTCTGATTTGTTTTCCCGCTGTAATGATACTCCTGAAATGGAAGCTTCCTCGGTGTCCTGTGTGTTTGTATGTGAGACAGAAGGTGTGGTAAATGAGTGCATGTACCCCCTCTACAAACCAGAGAAGACCAAGGAAGGGCTGTGGTCTGGCCTCACAACAGGAGTTTGAATTCATTGTCCAGTCCCAATGAGAGTGCTGTCATATTTATTTCCTTTGACAGAAACTGCAGGTTGCGTGATGCAGGGTGGGTGTCCTCAGAGGTAGCTAGCTAAGTAAGTTTGCATACTTCCTGACTGACAGAACACTCCTGCCAGTGCCTCAGGCCAGGGTGGTAAGTGTCGGTGGGAGGAGTAACCAAGTTTCACTTCCTTGCGGGTTGGAGACTCACAGCTGGCTTCTCTCCGAGGAGAGTGTGAGGAGCAGCAGAGCCCATTGCTTCTTCCCTCGGCACCTGCAGGGGCTTCACAGACGTGAGGAGCGCGAATGGGCAGAGCAGAGTCTCTAGAAGGGAAGATGAGCACCCAGGATCCTTCAGATCTGTGGAGCAGATCCGATGGAGAAGCTGAGCTGCTGCAGGACTTGGGGTAAGAGAACAGATCCAGTTTTCAAAGCGCTTCTTGAGTGAGCATTAACTCCCCGTTCCCTAACGCTCACTTTGATTAATGGTTCTCTTTAGCACTCTGCCACCCCCATTTTCCATCCCTTTCACTTGACTCATTTGTGTCTGTTAGGTGTCTTCCTGCTTGGAGCTAACTGCATTGTAAAAGAGCATATTATTTTCCCAGATGTGAAAACAGGTAGATGCAGACTATGGGACAAAATTCAAATGCTAGACAGACTCTGAGAGTAGGGACAGAATTGAAATGTATAAGTTGATGTTGCTTGGTTTCCTTCATGTTGATCTGGTTTATAAATAAATGCTGTTAAAATATTTTATCTCTATTAAGCTGTTGTCAGTAAGATAAACAGAAAGCCTCCCCTACTGTACAGGAGAGGGACTTTTTCAAAAGAGAAAGGAGGAAGTGTCTGCAGCAGTGTCCATATGCCTTTCTTTTTCCTGACACTGCTTTTGTGAGCTCACTTATGTAGGGCATGTCTGCAGGGGCAACTTTGAGCCTCTAAATATTAGCAAGTCAGAAAGAGGATACAATTTCTGCCTCAAACAGGTAATGAGTTTGAGTAGTCAGAGTGATCATAGTCCTGTCTTTAAGAATGGACCAGATGAGACAACTCATCAGGATATTTAATCAGAGAAACAAATATTACATAAGAGAGGAATAGGGGATTTCCTAGAGACACTGAAGCTTTACCCTAAAATACCAAGAACAGCCTGGTGAGGCTGGTTTTGACACCTGTGCTTCACGAGAGGCAAGACCTACACCTTCTGTCCTAGTAAACAGCTCAAATCTTCACAACAACCCAACAACATAGGAACTACTATCCTCTCCATCTTACAAAGGAAGAAAATGAACACCAAAAGTGTTGACTACTCATCCATGTCACGCATCAATTAAATGGCAGAGCTGGGATTCCAATCTGCCAAAGCCTGTTCTTAACCAGAGAAACTCAGAAGCAGGCATGAAATCTCTCTGCACTAACGTGGCAGGGATTGTGTCTTTTGTGTTGTATTAGTGTAAAAGTTCTCAATAAGTCCTATCTTTAGATTTTAAATGTGAGGTCTCAGAATTGAACTCTACCTTCAGAAGGTAAATCAGATGTAACAGCTAGAATTTTCTATAAAGTAAAATCTTCTTATTGGAAATTCAGAGTTCCAGGATATCACTAACCTTCTAGATTCCCCCAAAGAGAAAAAGTAAAATGCCCCTGAGCACCCAAAGCAGGTGTCACAAATCTGGGCACTAAAGCTGGATGCTTGGGCTCTCAAAGCCTTAAAAAATTGTTAAACTATAATTCTTTAGTACATGCTTCCTTATCTATATTCCCACCCATGATCAGTAGGAAGCCTCCAAAGAGAAAAGAGCCAAAGGAGATATTCAACTCTGGCCCTTTAATTTAATAATCCTGGAGCCTAGACCCTGTGTTTGGGTACCTTGGCACTCACTTAAATGACAAGGTAAGCTATATGATGTCCCTTCTCCCCACCACAACGCCAATGGCAGGAAGCAAGTACAGGTGAAACCCACAAAGAAACAATTCTATGTCTTCTCTCCATGTGCAAAGAATAGACATTCGATACAATCCAGAAACACCCCAAAATGTGCTTTATGTCCAGACTTCTCTATTCTATTCTAATAAATTAAGCACCTGAGGATGGTTTCTGTAACAACAAGCAAGCTACAATTATCTGGAGAGATTGCTCCACACTTGTGGTTCTAAACGTTGGTGGAACACTGGAATCACCCTAGAAGTTTTAACAAAACTTCCGCCCAGGCCACAGACCAGACTAATGACATCAGTGTTGTGGGAGTGTTTTCTTAGTAAACTTTCCAAGTGATTCCAGAGTGACACCAAGATTGAGAATCACTGCATAGAATATAAGTCCATCAGAAGGGCTGAGTAATGTGGCTTCACCTTTCATTTATGGGGTATGTATCTGAATCTTAAAGCCATTAATACATGCCAACATTTTGTTTGTTAATTCAGGGACATTTTGTTGAATAATTTTATTGAGGCATATTTTAGAGATTGTAAAACTCACTCATTTCAAGAGTATACAACTCAATAATTTTCAGTGACTTTGAAGACTGGTAGAACCATCACCATAATTCAATTTTAGAACATTTTCACCCCAACTCCATAAGACTCAGAAGAGCATGGTTCATTTAAATATACTCAATAGTGTGCTGATAAGCCACATGGACAAGGGGTAGCCCTGATTTCCAGAGTCTGCCTATCTCCCTGGTATAAATGCTCTTACTTTGGACAATACCAAACCACCAAGGATTTAACAACCAACTTGCAAAATTCCTGAAAATGTACTAATGGCCTTGAGCCAGTACTTGCCCCTCCCAGACATCACTGATATACCTTTTATAGGTAATAATTTATGAGAAAACTTGAAAATAACCTGTTGCTTCTGGCAGAATTCTGAATATAAAAGAAGGATTTTTTTCCCAACCATTAAGCCACTGATTAGGTATGACCTATACCAAAACTTCTGGTTAATTTAGATTTTAAAAGCTCCATAAAAGCAAAAAATGGCTTAGAGTACTTGATAGATTAAAATAGCTAGTTTTGAAATGATCTTTAATAGGTTGTTTGATTAAGTAGATAGATTTTTACATTTGTATTTCGGATCCATATAGACATAATATGATGATTAAATTAGACAGATTATGCCTTTGTTCTCTGGTCCCTGTTTTTCTTCAAACTCAGGAATATGGAAGCTCTGTAAATTAAACCCTGCACTGCAGCAAATCCATCATTTGCCTGCCTAGGACACACATGACTTGTTCAGAGCACAGGCTTATTCCTTCTACAGTACTTAAATCAAGTAACTCAGAAGGATTTCTGCCTCATTTATAGCGTCAGTTTAAAAAAACATTCATTTTCTTTTATCTTAAAGGTGTTAATGTGTTTTATTTCCTCCTTGGAAGAGGAAATAAAACAATCTGTGATTGTCAGTCAGCCTCACTGGTACCTTGGCAGTGTGGGAGTGGGGGAGGAGTGGGTAGTGGCAGAAGAAGGGGCGACAGGGTAGAAAATGGCCTTGAGAAGCAAGAGGTGAGCTGGGAAGGGTCAGGCTGTATGCTGCTTTCAAAATGAAGCAATGGGGAAATTAAACAAGTAATAAATATTAGAGTCATCACCTAAGTAACAAACGGGCGTAGAATTGCTAGTCAGTTAATAATCTAAAATTCCAGAAATTCTTTAACTGCCACAAAGTTTCCTATGAGATAATGTAGGAACAGTATAGTTATATAGTTTATAAGGGAATAAGCCTTTATAAACTATATAACTACAGACACAAAAGGGATACTGAGAAATACAAATATTTTCGGATATTTTTAAATTAGATATTCAGATTATCTAGTCACACATATTCCCTCAGGTGATAAATATAATAACTATCCCCTTTTTCATATAATTTCCTGAATCTTAATGTTTATAAGAAGTGTCAGTGTTTGGCTGACCAGTGTCAAGAAACTAGACTCTAAGCTCTGGATATTTAAGTAAATAAGTCAAAATACCTCTCATTTCTCTACCTCTTATCCTTCACATAGAAGAGAAGATTAGAATAGATCAGGGATTAGTAAAATTTTTAAATAAAGAGCCAGGTAATAAATACTTCAGGCTTTGAAGGCCTTATGATCTCTGCCAGAATGTCTCACATCTGCCACTGTGGTGAGAGCACAGCCCAGATAACAGGAGCAATGACCATGATGGTGTTCAAACAGAAAGCTTCTTTTGGACACTGAAATGCAAATTTTATATAATTTTCATGAGTCACAAAATCTTTTTTTCCCCTCCCGACCATTTAAAAACATAAAACCATTCTTGGCTTTCAGTCCATACAAAAACACATACTCTGGCAGGAACTGGCCCTTGGGCAATGATTTGTCAGCCCAAGGAATAAATAACCCAAATAAGTTTTTATTATGAGGCAGACATTTTGCACACACCAGCTCCGGTCTTTAATAGGTACTGGTATTCCAACTTTACATGAAAAGAGACCCATTAGCAGAAAAATTAGGCTGCCCGAGTCCAGTGAATCTGGGTCCCCAGCCCATGTGCGGTCCACCAAACCAGGATGCTCTCATGTCACGATTGTTATTCTTCACTGAGCCCCTACTCCTTGCCTGCACCATGCCATGTGTCATTTAGCTTTCACAGTGACACTTTCAATAATACTCTATGAAATGCACCTTGTGTATTTCATAGATGCACAAGGTGACATCAAATAAGTTCAGTGAATTGTCCAGGTCACTGACCTCCTGAGTGGGACTGCTGAGTGACATGCCTAGGAGATTACCCAAAAGCTGATACTCTTTCTAATGATCCAAGAAGGTGTATGTTCTAAATGTGGCAGTCAGTACTTACTGGATGCTTGCTCTGTGCCAGGCACTATTTTAAACCCTTTGTGTGCATGACTTTTAAATTCACACATCACTGTATATAGATACTATCACTAATGTCATTCCCATTCACAAATGACAAAAGTGAAGCACAGAGCTTTGATCACATGTCAAGTTTACATGCTCAGAAACCTTCAGATCCAGTTTTGCTCCAGAGTCCATGTACCTGTCCACCAATGCAACTTCCTAATTTCCATCAAACTTCTTTCTTCTTACACTAGCACTATATGCAAGTGCTAGTGTGAACTGAGACAAATAAAAAAGTTCTGTGACTACTACAACCAATACATTTTATTACTAAAAGATATTAATTATTCTTTCACATGATTCACATTATACATATACATGAGCATGACAAAACCAAGTTAATATCCTAATTAATAAAAACTTTATTGAGTTTTGTAGATTTCATTTTGAGGTCTAGACAAATTGACAAGGCTAAGAAGAATAGAAAAGTCAAACCTTTATAGAAACCTGTTTACAAATCTGTGATACCAAATAGAGCAATAACATTCGTTCCTCTTTTGTGCACAATTCTGTAATCTTGG